AACACTCCAATCCCACCCTTTGGTATTTAACCCACCTCACCCCAAACCCAACTTCTGGTATCTAACCCACATCACCCCACACCCTAATCCCACGCTGTGGTATTTAATTCACCACACCAAACACCCACATCCCACCCTCTGGTATCTAACCCACCCCACCCCAAACCCACTCTCTGGTATCTAACCAACCCCACCCCAAACTCACCCTCTGGTATCTAACCCACCCACCCCAAACCCACCCTCTGGTATCTTACCCATCCCACTCCAAACCCACTTTCTAGTATCTAACCTACCCAACCCCAAACCCACCCTCTGGTATCTAACCCACCCCACCCCAAACCCATCCTCTGGTATCTTACCCATCCCACCCCAAACCCACCCTCTGGTCTCTTATCCATCCCACCCAAAACCCACCCTCTGGTATCTAACCCACCCCACCCGTAAACCACCCTCTGGTATTTAACCAACCCCAATATACACCCAGATCCAACACTCTGGTATCTAACTCACCACACCAAACACACCAAACACACCCTCTGGTATTTAACCAACACCATCCCAAATCCCAAACCCACACTATTCCACACCAAAAACCCACCCTCTGGTATCTTAACACACACCACCCAACACCCCATACCCTGCCTCTGATATCTAACCCGACCAACCAAACACCCCCATCCCACCCTCTGGTATCTTAACACACCCCACCCAAAACCCACCCTCTGGTATCTAAAACCCCAACATACACCCCCACCCCACCCCTTGGTATATAACCAACCTTACCATTCACCCCAATCCCACCCTCTGGTATCTTAGCAACCCAACCCCAAATCTACCCTCTGGTATCTAACCTACAGAACCCCACACCACTTCAACCCACACCCCAGTCACCCTCTGGTATCTAACCCACACCACATCACACAACTTCACCCCACACCCCAACCCACTCGCTGGCATCTAACCCACACCACACCACATCCCTATGGTATCTAACCCTACCCACCATACATCACCACACATCCCCTTCCTACCCTATTGTATCTAACAACCCTCCATACATCACCCCACATCCCCTTCCTACCCTATGGTATCTAGCTCTACCCACCATACACCACCTCACATCCCCTTCCTACCCTATGGTATCTAACCCTACCCACCATACACAACCCCACATCCCCTTCCTACCCTATGGTATCTAACCCTACCCTCCATACATCAACCCACATCCCCTTCCTACCCTATGGTATGTTACCCTACCCACCATACATCATTCCACATCCCCTTCCTACCCTATGGTATCTAACCCGACCCACCATACATCACTCCACATCCCCTTCCTACCCTATGGTATCTAACCCGACCCACCATACATCACTCCACATCCCCTTCCTTCCCTATGGTATCTAACCCTACCCACCATACACCACTTCACATCCCCTTCCTACCCTATTGTATCTAACAACCCTCCATACATCACCCCACATCCCCTTCCTACCCTATTGTATCTAACCCTAGTAACCATACATCCCCCCACATCCCCTTCCTACCCTATTGTATCTAACCCTAGCAAATTGTATCTAACCCTAGCAACCATATATCACCCCACATCCCCTTCCTACCCTATGGTATGTTACCCTACCCACCATACATCATTCCACATCCCCTTCCTACCCTATGGTATCTACCCCTACCCACCATACATCACCCCACATCCCCTTCCTACCCTATTGTATCTAACCCTAGCTACCATACATCACCCCACATCCCCTTACTACCCTATGGTGTCTAACCCTACCCACCATACATCACTCCATATCCCCTTCCTCCCCTATGGTATCTAACCCTACCCAGCCCTTCCCACCATCAATCACTCCACATCCCCTTCCTACCCTATGGTATCCAACTCTACCCAACATACATCCCCCCACATCCCCTTCCTACCCTATTGTATCTAACAACCCTCCATACATCACCCCACATCCCCTTCCTACCCTATGGTATCCAACCCTACCCACCATACACCATCCCACATCCCCTTCCTACCCTATGGTATCTAACCCTACCCTCCATACATCAACCCACATCCCCTTCCTCCCCTATGGTATGTTACCCTACCCACCATACATCATTCCACATCCCCTTCCTACCCTATGGTATCTAACCCGACCCACCATACATCACTCCACATCCCCTTCCTTCCCTATGGTATCTAACCCTACCCACCATACACCACTTCACATCCCCTTCCTACCCTATTGTATCTAACAACCCTCCATACATCACCCCACATCCCCTTCCTACCCTATTGTATCTAACCCTAGAAATCATACATCACCCAACATCCTCTTCCTATCCTATGGTATCTAACCCTACCCACCATACATCCCCCCACATCCCCTTTCTACCCTATGGTATCTAACCCCACCCACCATACATCACTCCACATCCCCTTCCTACCCTATGGTATCTAACCCTTCCCAACCCTTCCCACCATCAATCACTCCACATCCCCTTCCTACCCTATGGTATCTAACCCGACCCACCATACATCACTCCACATCCCCTTCCTACCCTATGGTATCTACCCCTCCCCACCATACATCACCCACCATACATCACCCCAAATCCCCTTCCTACCCTATGGTATGTTACCCTACTACCATACACCACCCCACATCCCCTTCCTACCCTATGGTATGTCACCCTACCCACCATACATCATTCCACATCCCCTTCCTCCCCTATGGTATCTAACCCTCCCCAACCCTTCCCACCATCAATCACCCCACATCCCCTTCCTACCCTATGGTATCCAACTCTACCCAACATACATCCCCCCACATCCCCTTCCTACCCTATGGTATCTAACCCTCCCCACCATACATCACCACATATCCCCTTCCTACCCTATGGCATGTTACCCTAGCAACCATACATCACCCCACATCCCCTTACTACCCTATGGTATCCAACTCTACCCAACATACATCACCCCACATCCCCTTCCTACCCTATGGTATCTAACCCTACCCACCATACACCACCCCAAATCCCCTTCCTACCCTATGGTATGTTACCCTACTACCATACACCACCCCACATCCCCTTCCTACCCAATTGTATCTAACCCTAGCAACCATACATCACCCCACATCCCCTTCCTACCCTATGGTATCTAACCCTACCCACCATACATCACCCCACATCCCCTTCCTACCCTATTGTATCTAACCCTAGTAACCATACATCACCCCACATCCCCTTCCTACCCTATTGTATCTAACCCTAGCAACCATACATCACCCCACATCCCCTTCCTACCCTATGGTATCTAACCCTACCCACCATACACCACCCCAAATCCCCTTCCTACCCTATGGTATGTTACCCTACTACCATACACCACCCCACATCCCCTTCCTACCCAATTGTATCTAACCCTAGCAACCATACATCACCCCAAATCCCCTTTCTACTCTATGGTATCTAACCCTACCCACCATACACCACCCCACGTCCCCTTCCTACCCTATGGTATCTAACCCTACCCACCTTACATCACCCACCATACACTACCCCACATCCCCTTCCTACCCTATGGTAGTTAACCCTACCCACCATACATCACCCTTCATCCCCTTCCTACCCTTTGCAACAAGGAAGAATACATCTTAACATAGAAATATATATTCTTTTTTTTGGTGGGTTTTATCTGACTGAAGATATTTCAACTCTACCCATGTGATCATTTCTAGTGTGGTTCTCGTGATTTTTTCCCCTCATATACATGTATTAACCTAAATCCTAGTAATAATTCATATTTGAAACAATTCTACTCGCGTTTCTCATTCCTACATATGACTATGGCATTATCTAACCTTTTCCATCATTGACTTCTTTTTACTACCTTGTCGTTTAGGAGTGACCCCTCGTGACCCCTCGTGACCCCTGTGACCCCTCGGATTGGCAAATTTCTTTGTCTGCCCTGTCAGTGTTGCTTATTAACTGCAATACAGTAACAGATTTGTGAAAACGTCGTTTTTGTCAATAACACAATATATATATTATTGTTCAAAAATAATCTTGGATTTTGCCATTATTCACATTTCTATTCATTTCGCACAATATTAGGTTTTTTGCTTTCTTTACCAAATTTCTCTTCTTGGACAAATGTCTAACTGAGGTCCCTTTATGAAAGTCAGTAAAGTTTGTATCCAACAACTTCTAAATATTCTATAGTGATCGTAGACTACCTTTCAAATGTATTTATCTTACGTTATATTTATGTCATATTTTTATAACTAGCATTAACGTGTTCAATATCCATACACTAACCATTATTATGGGCCCTGTCAAATACATGTTCAACATTTAATACTTTTAGTATTTTAATTTTGTGTTCAATAAATTATATGTGTAACTTTTTAGATAAAATTTTATGTCATATTTTTATAACTAGCATTAGCGTGTTCCATATTCATGCACTAACCATTATTATGGGCCCTATCAAATACATGTTCAACATTTAATACTTTTAGTATTTTTATTTTGTGTTTAATAAATTATATGTGTAACTTTTTAGATAAAATTACATATTGTATAGTGCTTGACTTGGGTTTTAATGTAGACAGACAAACATTACTACATCAAATAAAATATAAATCTCACGGAATAATGACGTCACGTTACCATAGCGTCAAATGGCGGTAGACTCGGCGATTTGTTCAGTGGATGACAACTGATGACAACTGATGAGTTTCAGTCAAAACGGTGTTCGGCTATTTTTATAACCATAGTGTGAAATAAAAAAAACGTTTATGGCATTGGCTGAAAACTAGCTGTATCACTATAATAAGATTACCAGGTGGGTTATAAAACGAAAAAACCGTACACGCGTGACAAATTGACGGAGTGTCCATTTGAGATCTTAAACACCATAGAAAAAATCAATAATCTACTTTAGGTGTGGAATTGCCCATACGATATATGTTACCGACAAAGTACGACATTGACACTCTCGGTTGCCGACATTGGTCACAGTTGTTCCAGTAAAGGGGTTTGGAGATTGAGTCTGTAGGCGAGGTAACAACAGTCGATCGAACGTGACTCGACCGTTGTCGCCGCAGCACGCCTAACATCAGCTGCTGAAGAAGCCGCGCGCCAAGGCCAGCATACGAGTCAACGTGTGCAGGTCCATGTGACCAAACTTTCTGGAACCCACTTGTTTGTAACATCAGCGACGTGTATGTGGCTTACTGCACGGAGCTCAAACATCGTCGCCGAACATTGTCGTAGCTATTCCTTGCATTTGTTTTCAAGTCAAAGATAGAAAACATTTTTTTCTGAAATTTCCAAATTATTCGAAATAGGAATTTCTTTTAAAACGACACAAGTGCAACAGATTGGACATCACTGACCGCGAAGTGCAAGCTACGTTTCTAGGGGAACACGTAAGAATATCTCAAAATGCCTTCTCCTACGGAATCAGCAGTGGGAATGTTCTCCGCTTGGGAATTCCAGTGTGTCGGGATTGCCTACTTTATATTTGGTGAGTAGACTAATAGGTAGACTTGTAGAATAGTCTAGACTAATAGGTAGACTTGTAGAATAGTCTAGACTAACAGGTAGACTTGTAGAATAGTCGATTTGCATTTGTATTATAGCTGTCGGAAGAATCACTTAAATATCTAAAATCATAGAACGTTGTAGATGGATTGGGTACTTTTTAATATACACTTAGTAACACGCGCGTTACCTGACAAGTCTGTAAACTCCCGATGCCCTGTGTTAGGACCGGTATGAAATAATTAAAAACCTTTTAATCTGGTTTTTGATAGTGTCGAACTTAAACGATGCATAATTATGGCAAATATTTTAACCGCGAGTAAATAGTATACAATATCTTTCAGAATGACAACAAGCCGACACCTGCGTATTATAGCAATAAGGGCAGGTCGCTAATTATATAATGAACCGATAATGTGGTAATATGATTGGTGAAATCAGGATCAATGTTCGGCGCGTGATTAAGTCCAAACTGAAATACGATTTACGTCATCAATGGTACGACACAAGTACACGCACATCGCCACCCATCAACAGTCGATTACTCATCGATTCCGTGATTATAAGATTTAAGCGTTTACATACCTGGTTGCGATCTAACAAGTGCCTACACTAAGCTTCATAATCTGATGTAGGATCACACTCAGCGAGCTAACTGTTAAAGGCAACCCCAAACCAATTTTATTTTTCTTTAAAAAGTTATTAAATATTTTGAATATTTCATAATCAAACCCTCCTTGGCTTATTTGACCAATTCCAACGTCATTTTGCAAAGTTCCTACATCCAAGTTTATTAAAATCACACCCCAAACCCACCCTCTGGTATCTAAAACCCCAACATACACCCCCATCCCACCCCTTGGTATATAACCCACCTAACCATTCACCCCGATCCCACCCTCTGGTATCTAAGCCAACCAACCCCACATCTACCCTCTGGTATCTAACCTACACAACCCCACACCACTTCACCCCACACCCCATGCCACCCTCTGGTATCTAACCCACACCACACCACACAACTTCACCCCACACCCCATGCCACCCTCTGGTATCTAACCAACACCACACCACACCACTTCACCCTACACCCCATCCCACCCTCTGGTATCTAACCCACACCACACCACACAACTTCACCCTACACCCCATGCCACCCTCTGGTATCTAACCCACACCACACCACACCACTTCACCCTACACCCCATCCCACCCTCTGGTATCTAACCTACACCACATCACACAACTTCATCCCACACCCCATCCAACTCGCTGGCATATAACCCACAACTCACCACATCCCCTTCTTACCCTATGGTATCTATAATTTTGTCTTATAATGGTGGAGGAAGGGGAGACAAAGATATTAAAAAATAAAGTTTCGTTTCAATTTTACAAATGTTCTAACGGATATCCAAAATGATTAGATATCAAACTTAAATTAGCCAACAGAACGTAAACGTAAGTTAACCAACGTAATCTAGTATTGCATTCTTATGTCTACCAACATACATTCACATTGTATTATTATGTCTACCAACATACATTAACATTGCATTCCTGAGTCTACCAACATACATTAACATTGTATTCGTATGTCTACCAACATACATTAACATTGCATCCTTAAGTCTACCAACATACATAAACATTGCATCCTTATGTCTACCAACATTCATAAACATTGCATCCTTATGTCTACCAACATACATTAACATTGCATCCTTAAGTCTACCAACACACATTAACATTGCATCCTTAAGTCTACCAACATACATTCATATTGCATTCTTATGTCTACCAACATACATAAACATAGCATTCTTATGTCTACCAACATACATACCCATTGCATTCTTTAGTCTACCAAAATACATAAACATTACATTCCTACGTCTACCAACATACATTAACATTGCATTCTTTAGTCTACCAACATACATAAACAATGCATTCTTATGCTAACAACATACATTAACATTGCATCCTTAAATCTACCAACATACATTAACATTGCATCCTTATGTCTACCAACATACATTAATATTGCATTCTAATGTTAACAACATACATTAACATTGCATTCGTATGTCTTGTTACATATATGTTTATATACGAATAGTAGTGTGTAGTTTATTACCGAAGCGTTGTGTGTTGTTAATAACCGAAGCATATTGTGTTGTGTATAACCGAAGTTTAGTGTTTGTTTATAATCAAGTCATAGTGTTTTGTTTATAACCGAGGCGTAGTGTGTTGATAATAATTGAAGGGTCGTGTGTTGTTTATAACCTAAGCATGGTGTGTTTTTAATAACCGAAGCGAGGTGTGTTGTTTAAAACCGAAGCGTAGTGTGTTGTTTATAACCGAAGCCTAGTGTGCTGTTTATAACCGAAGCGTGGTGTGTTGTTTATAGCCGAAGCGTTGTGTGTTGTTTATAACCGAAGCGTGGTGTTGTCAATAACCGAAGTGTAGTGTGTTGTTAATAACCGAAGTGTAGTGTGTTCTTAATAACCGACGTGTAGTGTGTTGTTAATATCCGAAGCGAGGTGTGTGTGTTGTTTATAAGCGAAGCCTAGTGTGTTGTTTATAACCCAAGCGTGGTGTGTTGTATATAGCCGAAGTGTGGTGTGTTGTTTATAGCCGAAGCGTGGTGTGTTGTTTATAGCCGAAGCGTGGTGTGTTGTTTATAACCGAAGCGTAGTGTTGCTAATAACCGAAACGTAGTGTGTTGTTAATAACCGAAGCGATATGTGTTGTTAATAACCGAAGTGTAGTGTGTTGTTAATAACCGAAGCGAGGTGTGTTGTTTGTAGTCAATATATTGCTTTTCGTATATAGAACGACACCGAATGCAGATCTTGTGCCTTTAATGTAAAAACTATTATAGATAAAAGCTAGAGGAATGTATATTTCACAGATAAAACGTATACCAATTAAATTTCGACGAAATTTAGTCTTTTTCCTTCAATGAGCTCCAGATTGTACACTTCACTCGAAATTGTTAAATGCTTTCTGCTTTAAATGCTGCTTCATCTCATCAATATTTTCAGCGAGGTTTATTTCGATTGCCATAGCAGTTTTAAAATCCCGAATCTCTTGAGGAATTACTGTTTTACGTTGTTTCCCGTTTTAATCCCCCAACACTTATAGAAGAACTATAAATACCTAAGAGTGATGGTGGAGGGGGTTTCCCTTATCGTCTCTCTCATTCCACGGTCTTACTACTAACACCCTGATCTGACTGATTCCACGGTCCTACTACTAACACCCTGATCTGACTGATTCCACGGTCCTACTACTAACACCCTGATCTGACTGATTCCACGGTCCTACTACTAACACCCTGATCTGACTGATTCCACGGTCCTACTACTAACACCCTGATCTGACTGATTCCACGGTCCTACTACTAACACCCTGATCTGACTGATTCCACGGTCCTACTACTAACACCCTGATCTGACTGATTCCACGGTCCTACTACTAACACCCTGATCTGACTGATTCCACGGTCCTACTACTAACACCCTGATCTGACTGATTCCACGGTCCTACTACTAACACCCTGATCTGACTGATTCGACGGTCCTACTACTAACACCCTGATCTGACTGATTCCACGATCCTACTACTAACACCCTGATCTGACTGATTTGACGGTCCTACTACTAACACCCTGATCTGACTGATTCAACGGTCCTACTACTAACACCCTGATCTGATTGATTCCACGGTCCTACTACTAACACCCTGATCTGACTGATTCGACAGTCTGACTACTTACACTTTGATCTGACTGATGTTACGGTCTTACTACTAACACCCTGATCTGACTGATTCACGGTCTTACTACTAACACACTGATATGACTGATGTTACGGTCTTACTACTAACACCCTGATCTGACTGATTCCACGGTCTTACTACTAACACACTGATATGACTGATGTTACGGTCTTACTACTAACACCCTGATCTGACTGATTCTACAGTCTTACTACTTACACCTTGATCTGACTGATTGCACGGTCCTACTACTAACACCCTGATCTGACTGATTCCACGGTCCTACTACTAACACCCTGATCTGACTGATTCGACGGTCTTACTACTAACACCCTGATCTGACTGATTCCACGGTCTAACTACTTACACCCTGACCTGACTGATTCAACGGTCCTACTACTAACCCCCTGATCTGACTGATTCCACGGTCTTACTACTTACACCCTGATCTGACTGCTTCCACGGTCTAACTACTTACACCCTGATCTGACTGATTCCACGGTCTTACTACTAATACCCTGATCTGACTGATTCCACGGCCCTACTACTAACACCATGATCTGACTGATTCCACGGTCCTACAACTACTACTACTAACACCCTGATCTGACTGATTCGACAGTCTGACTACTTACACTTTGATCTGACTGATGTTACGGTCTTACTACTTACACCCTGATCTGACTGACTCCACGGTCTAACTACTTACACCCTGATCTGACTGATTCCACGGTCTTACTACTGACACCCTGATCTGACTGATGTTACACGTCTTACTACTAAAATGTTGATCTGACTGATTCGACAGTCTGACTACTAACACCCTGATCTGACTAATTTGACGGTCCTACTACTAACACCCTGATCTGACTGTTTCGACGGTCCTACTACTAATACCCTGATCTGACTGATTCCACGGCCCTACTACTAACACCCTGATCTGACTGATTCCACGGTTCTACTACTAACACCCTGATCTGATTGAATCGACGGTCTTACTACTTACACCCTGATCTGACTGATGTTACACGTCTTACTACTATAATGTTGATCTGACTGATTCGACAGTCTGACTACTAACACCCTGATCTGACTAATTTGACGGTCCTACTACTAACACACTGATCTGACTGTTTCGACGGTCCTACTACTAACACCCTGATCTGACTGATGTTACATGTCTTACTACTAGTAATG